AATTATAATATTATTATAATATCATATTATATGATAAAATAATAATATTAGAGTTATTAATATAATTATGATATTATTTGTTACAATATTACTATTATATTATATTACGAGTCTAAATTTTAGATTGGGAAGATTGTAAATTTTAAATTTCATTAGGGGTATTATGGGTATTATGAAAGTTTCATTAATTGTACTATGTTAATTCCTGCACAATCTAAAAGTTAAAGTTTTCTTTAGGCTGCTTCTAATTTTGGCTATATATTCTTGAAAAATTCTTCAAAAAGTACTTTTGAGGAGATTTACCAAACACAAAAATCAGCTTATGCTACAAGCATAAGCTGATTTTGGGACGAAAAAGTAATATCAAACTAAGCCAAAGTCAACTACCACCGAAGGCCAGAAAATCCGGCGAAGGCGTCCAATGTTCAGGCTAAAAAAGGGTTTGGAAAATTGGGTTTTTAATTTTTTGGGTTCAAAGTATGAGAAAACTTAAAATTTGGTAGTGGAGGCTGATTTGATTGAGAAATGGGAAGAAATTTGGTTGTTTTAGGGTTATAGAGGCGAAGGAGGGCGAAGGAACTTAAGGGCGGCCGAGAAGAAGAGAAAAAAGAAAAAATGGAGAAGAAGGGTTTTGCGATCTTGTTTATACGCAGACCTTTTTAGCGACGAAATTTGTCATCGCCAAAAGTGCACATGTCATCACCAAAAGTAAGTCACGTCATTAAAAAATTGATTGTGTCAAAGACACTTTATAGCGACGACATGAAGTCCCAAAATTTTTTGATTTGCACTTGCTGCTAAAAGTTAAAATTTTTCAAGAAAATTTCTAGGTCCGCTAAATTTATTTTAAAACTTATAGTGACAAAATAAAGATATTGAAATTTTTTAGCGACGACACGTCATCGTTATAGATCTCACTTAATCGTCACTAAAAGTAATTGATGATCTAAATTACCAAGCAAACAATTGCCATTTTTAGGGACTATACGTCATTGTTGTTTGTTTCTTTTAGCGACGTCAATTGTCGTCACTAAAGGCAGCAATTATTGTTGTGAAATCTTCGGTTATAATTTCAAAACACTCGCCACTTCTTATGCGGGCTCTTCTTATTGATAAGATACGGCTTAAGATCTTTTAATCTCACAGTCAAAAGTACAAATCTGATATGATACCATACCCAAAAACAAAAAAAAAAAATGATAAACTTAAGTAAGTTACTATAATTAAATTAAGAGAACGTTTAGTTCATAGATTAAAATCATGTGATTAGAATTATTTTTAATTTATGTGTATTTTTTATGAGAGAAAACACTATAACAAATCATGAACCATGATTTAAATTCTCCAACCAAACATCCTTTAACAGATAATTGAATACAATTAATGGCCAGGGCACGTGTTGCCATTGAAAAAGTAAATGCTAATTATTGTTGGGAAGATGCGGCAAATAGTATTTTCTATATATATATATATATATATATGTATGTATGAAGTATATAGCATATTTTTTTGATGTTGGTAAATAACATCATATTTTAATTTTTATTGATGAACTTAATTGTCTCTTTTTTTTTTTTTTTTCAAATTTACCCTTTATTTTAGGCTTTTATTTTTTTTCTTCCTCACACACTCTCTCACAACCTCTCCCAATCATCGCGCTCTCTCTCTCCTCTTGTCATACTCTCTCTATCCTTGAGCCGCTGGACATCGGGACCAAGAAATCACGAGATCTAGCTCCGTGTTCCCTGTCTATTTGATAATTCAAAAAGTATTTAAAATGATCAAATTGTTGAAACTAACATAAATATCCTTAATGAACAATTTAAACATTATTTTAAATATAATAACTAAGAAACATTATTTTAAATATTTATTTATTTCTTTTACTCGTCCTGCCCACATCTCGTTGAGTAATGATATTAATTTATCTTTCATTTATTTTATCAATTTGAGTTTAAAATTTAAATTTTATTATAATAAATTTTTTTAAAAAATAATTACATTTAATTTTTTTATTATAATAAAAAATAATCACATAAAATCACATTTTAACTCAAATTAAAAATTCAAATCAAAACTTTTAAATAGTCAAAATTCCTACTTTATATAAAGAAAAAAAAAATCCTATTTTCCCCGCCATGCGGCAATCTGTGGCCTCCGACGTTTAACCAGCAAACGTTAGTCCAGACACTAGACAGGTAGGGTGACGAAAAAGAAGAAAACCCAATGATGTCATCATCATCAAACCCCAAAAAAGAAAATGTAGTAATAATTGTAATCCAAACCAAAACAACTATAAAAGAGCTTGCGCAGGCACGTGTACAGACCCAGCGTAGATTCACTCTTAGCCCTAACCACTTCAGCACACTTCGCCAAAAATGGAGCTCCGAAGAACTCTCTTCTTCTTCCTATTCGTCCTCACTCGCTCCGTCCTCGTCATTTCTGATTCCGACGTAATCTCCTTTTCTCCAAATTAATCTCTTATATTTCTCTCTCTTTAAAAAAAAAAAAAAAACTGAATCTAATAAAAGTGGTTTTTCTTTTGTATTTTCTTTTTCAGGATCTGGATTGCGTGTACACGATCTACGTTAAGACCGGATCGATCATAAGGGGAGGGACGAACTCAAATATCAGCGCAACGTTATACGCATCGGACGGCTTCGAGAACCGTATCGACGATGTGGAGAAGTGGGGAGGGCTGATGGGGCCCGATCACAACTACTTTAGGAGGGGCAGTATCGACATTTTCAGCGGCCGAGGAAGCTGTTCGGACGCGCCGATATGCGGGCTGAAACTGACTTCCGACGGGAGTGGGCCCCACCCCGGGTGGTACGTCGACTACGTGGACCTCACCTCCGCTGGGCCCCACATCCGCTGCCAAAAGCGGCGGTTCATTGTCGACCGGTGGCTCTCCATCGATGTACCGCCGTATAGTCTCACGGCTGTCTTGGACTACTGCTCCAATTACGACGGCGACGGCGAAGACCATGACCTTAGACGCCAGGGTTAGACCGTTTCCTTACCGAAGCTTTGGACGTTTGAGTTCTGTTGTCGTATAAGGGGAATAGATAACTGCGTTGTGTGTCGTTTTTGGGGATGGAAATAAGGAATGAAATGGATATTTGGATGTGTCAGTGAAGGCCTCTCGGACTCTTAGGGGAGTTTAAGGTTTCTTGTACTCCTCGGCATCTTATTATATAGATTAGAGTTGTACCTTGGCCGAAAAACAAAATAATAATAATAATAATCCCTTAAACATATATATAAATGAGAATTAAGTTTTTTATTTTAGTGTCTGTTTTGTTAAACGGTTTCATCGCGTTTTTTATTATGCCGTTCGTTCCTTTTTTTCTCGAGGTGCATTGTTTGTTTTTCCTTGTAATGTGCTTTAGATAAACTTTTGCCAGCTTTTATTATTGATTACGTCAGCAGGGATTATTTTTCAAAGGGAATTATTGCCTTCAATTTTTTTACAAAAGCAATAACATAACTTCGTTAAAAAGCCACTTAAAAGATAAGATCAAATTTAAAAGGGGAAAATAAAATTTATAGCAGAACTTAAAAAATGTTTACTAAATAACATAAAAGTTTAGTTTAGATATTTTGACATACACTGCATTACCTATAATACCCCAAACAGATGCCAAATTTGAAAATCTCTCTCTCATCTGTTTCACGACCCTCTCTCTCCGTCTCTCTCTTCTCGCTTGCTCTCTCTCTCTCTCTCTCTCTTCTCTTGCTCACAAGATAATAATGCTGACAACAGTGTTCGCGAATCTCGGAGTTGCAATGAACAATGGACTTCAGAGCTGGTTTTCTGAGAAAGTACAGGACTAGTTCTATGCCGATTCCGTCTAAATGGTTTCCGGGAAGAACCACGATTAGCTACGGCGGACGTCGGAGATTTTCGTCGTTCTCTCTTACAAGAAACGGAGAAAGGGGTGGGGGCGAGCGAGAGAGGAGAGAGAAAGAGAGAGGCTGACCGAGTGCGAGCAGAGAGAAAGAGAGGGGGTAAGCGAGTGAGAGGAGAGAGAAAGAGAGACGGCTAGCGTGAGAGGATGGGAGAGACAAACTCTTCTTGGAATTTGATTTCTAAATTCTGGAAGAATTTTTAGGATTTCCTTTACAAATTAGGGTGAAATGAAAAAAGAACATTTAAATTTTTAAAATTTGTTATTTACTAATAAACTAAAATAATTATGCTATTTACTACCTTAAGTTTATACTGCCATTTCTGTAATAATAATAATGATAATAATAATAATAATAATAATAATAATAATATAAAAGTGGTGGGCTTTGTTTTCTGTGTATGCGATAATATGTGTAGAATAATTGAGGCTTTTTTTATCTTTTTCATTTTGAAGCAAAGGTGTTGGCGGTTCTGAATTTGCTTGAAATTTGTAAGTGGAGAATAACTTTGTAAGTTTATCTTACATTAAAACACATTGTCTTTTTAAAAGTCAAATTCATTAATTTGAGTAAGAGAAAAAAAAAGTATTTACAAAATCACATTTAAAAAAAATAAAGTTACATAAGAGTTTTCGATAAAAAAAAAATTAAGAACTTATTTGAAAGGATTTATTTTAATCAAAACGAAGTGAGAAAAATTAAATATTTTAAAGAATGATATTTAAAAAAAATGAACTGCCAAAAAATGTTAGAGGAGAAAAATACAATATGCAAAAAAAGAAGAAAAAATAAATAAATAAGTTAAAATAAGAAAATGAGGAAAGGAGGCGAAGTTAAAAGAAGAAGAACACGTGACATATTTATGAGCCAAGTTCAAAAGGAGACTTGGCTCTTTGTATATATGTTAGATGTTAGATACTATAAGTAATGACATATTTTAAAGAAACTGTTTTAGTATAAGGAAATTAAGGTAAAAAGTATTTTAAAAATGGTATGTTATAAAAAAGTAAAATGCTTTAAAGCATAGAGCACTTGAGAAAAAACCGAAAAGCAAGTAAACAAAAATAAATTAAAAAAAGAAAAGAAAAGAAAAGAAAAGGAGAAAAACTGAAAAGCAAGTAAACAAAAATGAATTAAAGAAAAAAGAAAAGAAAGAAAAGAAAAGGAGTAAAAGGAAAAAAAAAAAAAGAGAGGGAGAAATAGGAAAAAAGGAGGTCAAATAAAAATTAAAGAAAATAAGAAACGAAAAAAGAAAAAAGAGGAGCAAAAGGAGGTGCTGTCATGTAGAGATGTCAATTGAGCCGTGTTATGTTGGTCCGGACACTTTGTTACTCTTATACGTGTTTCGTGCCATGCTCGGCTTGATCCACTAGAATTTCGTGTCATGCTCTGCCAACCCAGGATTTAAATCATAAACCCGGCCGATCTATGTACCTAAGCACATTCGTGCTCATGCAGTGTTTTGCTCATGCTTTTATCGTGCTTGGCGCAATAAATCTTTAGGTCACCCCATTGGTCATTTTAAATTGTTTTTTCTGTGATAAAAAATAATTTTTGGACAATTTATAAATAAAAAATAATTCAAATAACAACATAATTTCACGTTATTACCAAGGGAGAGATTTGGGTATATATAGGCCGATTATAAGAATCACATATAAACAAACAATTAAAAAAAAAAAACAGAGAACCGTTGAGTTGAGATTTGAGACTATCAATTGTCAAATGTACTTAATATAAGCAACGGATATATTGTATTAAAGTATGAGATTATACATCAATCACATAAAAATTATATAATAAAAATGAAAAACGATATATTCGTGGTGTCAACCTATCGTGCTCGATGGGACGTGCCGTGCTTGTGTTATACTCGTGCTTGTTATTGTGCCATGTTATACCATATCCACGTGCTTAAAACTATGAGTCCAATACAGCCCACCACCTCATGTTGTGCATAGTTCAATTCATAATAATCTCATGTCGTGGCGTGCTCGGCCTAAAATTTCTTGTGTCGTGCCATCATACTCGATGGACGGCCCGACCTAATTAGAATCTTTACTGTGATGTGGCAATATGAGAGAAAAGAGTTCTGGCTAACATAAATAAATAAAACGAGTTTTCTTTTGAGTTACTAGTAGAGAGGGGAACCTGCAAAAGCACAGATTTTGTTTTTAATTACATAGCATATATAGGGTGAGTTAAAGAAATACCATTTTTGAGGAGGCTCAATTTAGGAAGACCAGTTGTTTATTTTTCTATTAAAACATACACTTTTAAATTTAAATTTTCTAAATTTGGCACTTGATCTTTGTGTCTATTATTGTATAAAGAGAAAACTAAAAATTCTATTTTTTTAAGTACTTGATTTATTAAAAGTATTCTTTTTAAAATAATTATGGATTGACCCAATAAAGTCTGTACAAGTACTTACTGAAGCTCCTTGAGCCCAATTGACCCATTTAAGTATGCTTAAACAATTATGAATTTTGCCCTTCTTTTATTAGTAACACCCCCCTTAATTTTGATACAAAATGTTTATAAATTTTCATTTATATCTTTATTTTTTACTTTTAACTCTACACTATTACTTTATTTTTATTATTGTATCTATTTTTTTAACTTTATATAAAAACTTAAATAAATAAAAATTGCAATAAATTAATGTATAAAAAAGTGTAAACATTATTAATTTTAGTTTTAAAATTTGAGTCAACTCAAAACCCTTTTTGTAAAATTTTCTGACTTCGCTACTGGGTTCAATCAAACACGCAACTACCTCATGATTTAACCTAGTCCTATAACTAATATTTGTTACGATGTTCATAATTACCAAATCAAACTTCACAAAAAATTGAACAAACATCACGCCGTGGTGCGATTAATAGCCACCAAAACAAAAGGGAATTCATACTCATTAAAATGGTGCCCAGAGTTCTCCTATCTACTAACATTTCAATGTAATTATTTCATATCCCAAATTTCTTAGAGTTGGGCTTCAATGGCTTTTCGAGTCTTCAACTAAAGGTACAAAAAATAGGGAGAGTGTAGTAAATAACTGATTTATAAAATTAAATTAAGTAAATAGTATATTTTAAAATTATTAAAATAAATAACAGTTTACATGGTAAATTAATCATTTATTGCGTAAATAGTTTATTTACGGCTAGTAAAAATATTTTTTTGACTTAAATTTTCTTATTGCGTCTGTAAAAATATATATTTTTACATTAATAAAGATTTTTTGAGATTTTTTACTACATAAGTTAATTTTTACTAGCGTAAATAAATCATTTACATGGTAAATAATTTATTTACCATCTAAACTGCTATTTACTTCAAATACTTTTAAAATCTGTTATTTACTTAATTTAATTTCAAAATATACTATTTACTATAATTTTCTCAACAAATATTAAAAATTTATTTATTAGAAATTTGGATACCTAAAATATAATTTTTAACAAAATTATGGATCAATTTTATAATAAATATTGTACGTATTTGTAAATATGAAAATTTGTACAATCACCAATCTAGTTGTATTACATGCTTAACTACTAGTTGCTACACGTCGGACACTGTTGAGACATGGACCACACTAGTATTACCATAAAATTTTCAACTAAAATTCAAATTTTTGTAAGTAGAATACCGTATCAAAAAAAATTGAATTGTAATTTGAACTTAAAAAATAATGAGGCCAATATCTATGTCAAACTTTTATTTGTGAACTAATCGATGGTAATTAATTATTTAATATCACAGTTGCAACTTAAAAATTGTTTAAAATTCACATTCTTGTCTTGTATACATGCCTGGTTTAAAAGGAAGTATGAATTGATTTATATTAAACTGGTGGAAGTATGGGACACATTGTTATTTATGAATGTCACAATTCATATTTGAAAGATCCCGAATTTAATTAAAGTCAAATTAATTAAATCACTGAACGCGTAAATTAAAACAAAAACAAAAGCTATCTCTACGTGGTTGATCAGTACATACCGTAAATTAAAACAAAATAAAAATTATTTCTACGTGGTTCAATACATACCTATATTTGTGAAGCCACGCCTAATTATTGAACAATCCACTAAGTTTTGCAAATGTCAAGAACTAATAGACTTAAACAATTAAAGACTCCATCTTTATGATTCTCACCATTATGTTGTAATAACTTTGATGGAGCTCTTCAGCGAACACCACTTATCTTGACTTTTGTTTCACTTGAACTTCTTCAATTGATGTAAAACTTCTCCTGAAGAACCAGCTTCTTCTCCCAAAGAACCAAGATAGAAGAACAAAATACTTTATGCAAATATGCTCCAGGAACGTGCACAATCGCGGCAATA